TGATGACATGGACTTTCCTCCAGAGCTGATGGAGAAAGCGTTCCCCTGGAGCTGATGCCCTGAATTTGGACTTGTAGCCTACTGGACTGTGAGAGAATGGACTTTCTTTGTTGAAACCATCCAATTGTGGTATTTCTGTTGGAGTAGCACTAGATGACTGAGACACTGATAAAAATTGATTTGTTTTTAAAATGGATTTCTTTCTTCCCCCACGACATTTTCTGGTGATGGAAACATTGAGGTCTTCTCTCTTCATTCATGTTGTTACAATAACACCGTTTTATTTTGACCAGCACTGATATTCTTTTCTAAATCGGGTCAAAGTAATTTCTAGTTTATCCTACTTTGTCATGAATCTAAGTTTCCTTCCTGAACAATCTCTAGTTTTGTTTCCATTTTGTTCTAGACTGGCCCAATTGACCTATTTACTAGAAGGTAAATAGGGCTGTGTCAACAGAACATTTTGGCAGAGAAGAAAGTACCATCGGTGGTTATAGGCCTGGTTGTGGCTGCTGGTGGTAGAGGATTTTAAGAGGGAGTTTTTCCAACTGGGAGTAATTTGGACTCTCCTCTGGATTCACAGGAATTCACATCTTTCAGCACTTAACTGTATACATAATTGTTTTGGTTCCATCTTACTTTCTACTTGGATCTTAAACTCTTCGAAGTCAAAGACCATGGATTACACAACCACCTGACCAACAGAGGAAACAACACAAGAGTCCAGAAATAGTCATTCTTTCAGTGGCTATTTGAGCGCCATTACATGCCAGGCGTGATGCCAGGCACCAGAGATAGAGTTGCAGAATGGTGAAGTAGGAAGACAGAGCACATCTCACTAAAATGTTTGTAGTACGCTTAACTGACCATAAGATCCTCATAAAAATCTCCATATAACGGGAAAACAATGATAAATAAAATCAAATCAACCCTATGCTCTTTTCTTAATTCATTCACTTTGTGATGCATGTCAAATGGATCAGCCATTAAAGAGATTCCTCTCACTCCATCTGCCCCCATGGATGCAAGAGGTATGTCAGAGAGGAAGACCACAAAAATCCGAATTTTTTACTTCTGGATGACAAAACACTATTTAAGGCTTTAGATGGAAATGGATTCCATATTCTCTCTATCCATCTGGAATGTTCTTTACCAGAAGAATGATGGAAGCCAACAAATCTATCACAGTGCTAAATTATCCACAGAGAAAAAGAAACATTTTGCCCAGTCTATTAGCCTATGGAGCCCTGGTGGTGCAGTGGTTAAGAGCTTGGTTGCTAACAGAAAGTTTGGAGGTTCGAATCCACCAGCTGCTCCACAGGAGAAAGATGTGGCAATCTGTTTCCATAAGGATTACAGCCTTGGAAACCCTATGGGGCAGTTCTACTCTGTCCTATAGGGTCGCTGTGAGTTGGAATTGACTTGATGGCAACGGGCATGTTAAGACCCAAATGCTTTCCAAAACCCGTGACACATGATCATTGTTTCTCAGCCAGAGGGACATTGCCCTGGTATTTGAAAGGGATTTTGGGAAGTATTAAGGGACATTTTGGGTTGTCACAATGACTGGAGAGCACTGCTGCATTCAGAGCTAGAAGCCAGAAAGTCAAGGCCTCGCCCTAGCCCTTACCAGGAAGAACTGTGCCGGTTGGAGAATCCCTGATGCCGCCACTGAGAAACGGTGGAGGACATTTTAAAGAATCCACACAGCATGCTACAAATATTAACATTAAAATGTGACTCTGGAGACCACTGGTTTGAAAAAATGAGGAGAATAAGGTCCAGTGAGGTCAGAGTGTCACGGGTCTACCTGGTCAGAGCAGAGCCGGGGTTCTCTCTGCTCCACCAGGTGTGTTTTCACAAAGCCCTTCCCACAGCTCTGTGCACGTGAGGACCTGACACCAGGGCTCTGCCTGGGACCTAGAGCTCTGCTCTGTTCTCTGAACGACGCCAGGATGCACTTTGGGAGACGTGAACTGACTGGGTACAAGGGGTCTTAACAAAGGCCCACATCGGCATTAATAAAGGAACACCCAACTGCCCACTGGGATTTCCTTACACTGTTAACTTAATGCACAATCATTTCAACTGCTGTTTTACGGCAATCTCCCGCGTGGCGATAAACAGTCAGTGCTTGGACCTGTCGCTTTAGAAATCTCGACTTCATTTTCGGCTGTAACGTTCCTTAGCGCAACTCTCTTGATAATCATGTAAATTCTTAGCATAGGGTCCCTAATGGCTGTTTGGAGATGTTCACAGAGAGGTTATTAAATTTACTTCTGAAACCTGTCTTTGCAGTGAGAGTGTACCTGTGACTGGGCCTCAAAGTCGCAACGGGGCACTTGAGGTCCAAACACCTCAGTTGTCCACAAGGTTGCCGTTAGCACCCCGGTGAACTCCTGGGGACCGGCTATGCATCCTGGGCTCTGAGACCTGCCCCCCTCGCAGCTCTTCACACAGGCCCGACAGCCTCATTGCAGCCACCAGCACTGTCCTCTTCACGTCAAGTGGGAGGGACCAGGCCCCGAAAAACCAACCTTGAGGTTCCGAACCTGACTGAGAATGAGAAGCAGGTACAGGATAGGACTCAACAAGCACACAAGTTATGAGAATTCTAGTGAAATGGCCAGCCCCCGCTCTTGCTAAAAAAAATTCCCTCATGGTTTTATACCCATTGACCTCGAGGGGGACTGAAGGCACACTGTGTTCAATTGGAACAGTGGCCCAACAACTGCCATTAAGATTTAAAACCTCATCTGTATAACCCTATTGACATGCCAGTGTTCATTCATTCATATTATCACATCAACCAAAAGTGTGATGCTTCTTAGGCCCCAAACACAGGATTGATAATACCAACTGCAATGCACTGGGTATAAATTTCAGGTAAATGCCTGTCTTGTGGTATGCTTGTGTTTGGTAGCACCTTTTATCTGTGATTTAACTAATTTTGCAGACTACGAGATTCATCAACGAAAAACGTGGACTTTTTTTTTACACAGGTATACCCAGACAATATATAAGGATAAATACGTGTGTGTGTATAGCATGTGTCTGTATACACATATAGATATTTCATTCACTTCTTTTCAAAATAGTGGGAAAAAAACCAAAAACCCTTTCAATCATGTCTTAAAAAAAAAACCCACCTCCTTTACTTTCGTAAATCAATTCCACTTTTCTCTTTCTGTTTCAGTGAGATAGACTGTCCAGACCCTTAGGGATGGAAGAGCAAGTTGGAACAGCCAGTAAAGAAAGCCAAGACCGTGACTTCAGTGTCCCAATCAGGAGGCTACATGGTCTCTGCATATTCTCAAGTATCTCCCAGTCCCAAAGGTACCACTTCACCACCACACAGGAGTTATCTACCTTGAAACAAGTGCAAATCTCTACCGGTAAACAAGTTCCGGGACCAGCCCTCTGAATATTTGTCACCTATGAAGTTCCCTGGAAACCCTGTGGCGTAGTGTTCAAATCCACCAGGTGCTCCTTGGAAACTCTATGGGGCAGTTCTACTCTGTCCTATAGGGTCGCTATGAAGTCGGAACCGACTCAACGGCAACAGGCTTTTTTTTAATAAAGTCCTCTACCACTTGCCTCCAAAAAAAAAGCTAAGATCACTGTGTTTACTTACCAAACAAAATAGGAAGCTTTCCAAAAGCCACCCAGGCGAGCACATACCACTTCTCAGAAGAACCTTCTAGTTGTGCATAATTTAATAAAACTGATCATGTAGGATAATGCTGTTTATTAAAAATATATTCAGGGAGAAGGGAGTCAGTGCATTTATGCAATTTTACATACACATCTGTAGTTTGAGGTTCCATTATTCCAACAGTTCATATAAATCACTGTTTCAGATAAGAGAAAAAAATGCTTTACACAGATCAAGCAATTGGTTATAGGTTTGGTAATACGAGTAGGCTTGTTGTAAAAATAAAACCACCTCTTCCATTATTAAAGAGTGTCTTCTTTATGCAGAACAAGTCTTTAGAGTTAAGACCTTTTTCTTGCATAAGAATTATCAACTTGAAGTTCTTGGAAAACAGCCAATCCTGTTTCCTATAACGCTGTGTTTCGTCTGGAATTACTTTTTGAGGTAACAAAGGAAGCATTTGCAGTGATTTGTCGCTAGGTTGTCCTTTACCGTGTATGCGAACTGTGGCAACGTCAAACCCAAGACTCGTACAAAAGCATTTCTCAGAGAATTAGAAATACAGAGTTGGACATTTCCAAACAACGGTCTTATTACAGCAGGGAAAACAAAGTGGGTCAGAAAAACAAAGCCCAAAATAAATGAGTGGAAGGCTTTATCATCTTTGCTTTATGGAGAATGAACAACAGCATCCAGAATCCCCCCAAAAGGATCTGGTTTTTGAATGTACTTTCTTGAACTCTTTTCCCCAGGAAGTCTCCTTTGCTTTTTTTTTTCCCCCTTGGAATATCAGTGGCTTTCCCACTTCCTGAGCTCATATTCACTGATGGGGAATTGGGAGCATAGGCTCAACACCTGGTGGACTAGAGGGAAGGTGACAAACTCACAACATGCTGGCGATAATCCTTTCTGTGGGTCTAATTTAATTTCTTAGATGCAGAGGTTGGTGCTGTCCCTCGACCTTACGGCCTTTATGCACAGGATGCCTAGGGAAGTAACTCCAAAAAAGCAAGTGAGGGGTCACCTCTTTTCATAAGGAGCCAAATGCAGGAAGGAGGGACTTTCGGATATTACCTTCTTCAGACTGCTACCGTGAAGAAGAAAGTTCTCTATCCCTGGAACATGGAGCTGAAGCACCGGAAGAAAACTTGTATTCCTTACAATGAGCTGTGTGAAAGGCTGCTGCTGGATTTGGAAAAGACATCTAGCATTTTCTCCATGTCTACTCCCAATGAGACTACCCAGAACTTACAATTCACTTTTGGGGGGGCTTTTTTGTTTCAACATTGGGTTAAATAAAGACTATGGATTTAACTAGCTCTTCCTTCCTTCTGATCAAATCAATAACTATGTAAATGACAACACCACAAACTCAGTGTAGCCGTGTCTATGATGTGATCTGACTCCATCTCAGCAAAAACAGGTCAATAAAGTCTCAGTCACTACCTAGCTAAGTTTTGAAGCATATGTAGAAATTAGTGCTTGTGGATAAGATTACCAAGCAAATAAACTTAAGGCATAACTGGAGTAACGGCAAACAAAGTGTATGCTTTTTCCCTATGATGTAATATTAAGGCCTCTGCCACGAGAAATTGCTTTTAAACAGGAAGAAAGTGTCTTCCTGCCCCAAATTAAACAAAGGTCCCACTTTCTATGCAAGGGGTAAGCCAATTACTAAAGACAAAGCTTTTAAACAGGTAACTACTGACTCTGAAACACTCAAGCTTCAGAATTTCATTCCAAACCATCCTACGTACCCATCTGATGTTGAAATCAATGGGCCCAAACCTGTCGGGGCCACAACATAGGTAAAATATCAAATACGGATATTTTAATACGAAACATTACTTTGTTTATAATACATGTGAAAATTTAAAAAATAGAACCCTTTAAAAAATGAGGAACAAAATGCTATGTTCACACAAAAATCCTTGTGCTTAAGTTTGTAAAAAGGTGTCAGGACAGTTTAAAACAGATTGGTTCCTATTTTAACACTAATTTCGCTGGATTAAACTGCTCAGATTCTATGCTGTCGATGTTAGAACTGCAGAGATGCAACGCCCTTCTTCGGTTTCAGGGTAAAGCTGCTCAATCGTCAGCACCTCTGCAAAGATGAGGAGCCCGCTCCTCAGGGACTGCCGTCTCCACTCCATCACACTTAGTGGGGTTTACTGCCCCAGTTAACGGCAAAGAGGGGATGTTTCCATATAAGGCCATTTAAGTGTAAAACGACAAAGGAAATCAAACTAAAACAAGCCATCAGGTTTCTTTTGGGTGGTGGGACAGGGAACAAGGGGATTTCCACATCAATTAAATAAGACTTCTAAACAGTCAGTCAAACAAAAGAATATTGATTTCTCAAAGTTCAATAAAGGAAACAATTAGCTCATCTCTCATTCTCAAAGAGATGAATTACGGAACATTCTCTCAAATTGATGCAACAGACTTAATTTTGAACCTAAGGAAGGAGTCTCCTCCCAGTCTCTCTCCACATTTTCTTTTCTTCAAGTTGCTACTATGAATTCTTGTTCGAATAGCGATATGAGCCATGACTGGGGTGTCATGGAGATTTGGACGATTGACTTGCATTGAGATACGACTATACAATCGGTAAGTATGCATACGGCACAGAACTATAAACAGAAAGGTGAAGCAAACTTTATTTATTGTCAGGTAAAAACATGAACCTGATAGATTATTGCAGATTTGAGAAATCAGCACATAAAACATGTGGACAGAGCGTTGCATACAGATGCTTCTATCTGTGTTGAGACAAAGGCTGAGCGGTTTGTCCCAAGCTAGCACTGGGAGGAGGGGAAGAGGAGAGTGGAATAAAGAAAGAAAACGATGAACAAAAAACAAGGACAAAGGAGAAAAAATTTCTTTTTACTCCAACAGGGAATGAAAACGGCTAATTTTGCTTAAAACTTTACCTCAATTCAAAATGCTCTGGCCATAGAATAATAAATCGCGGCCAGTCCAAGCTATAGATATTTTTAACCTACACCAAAGAAATGAGCCTTCCTTTCTCCATTCCAGAGGCTGCTCCTGCAGGAATCACCGTGTAAACAGACCTAGAGGGACGCCTGGTAAAAGGCCAGGAACGCCCTACACTACGTTAAAACCAAGCTATAAGAAAAATCTATCTAGTTACAAAGGCTGAACTATATTGACAATATATTTCGATTCCAATGAATTTTAAATTATATCTTAATCTGAGGGAGCATGGGACAAGAAAAGCCCTGGCTAGTGTAAGATGTAACAACTGTGAGTGTTGTACATAAAAAGAACCGTGTGAACTGCACAGACAATACACGCATCAGGGAGAGAAAATCAGAGGGAAGTGAGAAGTACATAGAGCTAGTCTATTCAACTCTACTGGTCAAATACATGTAAGCTTTAATTTCTGTACTTATGTACAAGAGTTGTCTTTGGAGGAAACAAAACTGCGGACTTAGCTAGATGGATACACACAGCCCAGGATTAAACTGCACAGCGACATTTATTGTTCCAGCCTGGAAAAACATCCCTTTTTTAAATTTCACACAGCAAAGCAAGTTAAAAACTTCACTCATCAAATAAATGATAATTTAAACAAGAACTTGCTAAAGAAACCTCATTACAACAACTTTTTAGGGCCTGATCACTTTAAGTCCTTGGGGCCATTAATGGATCTCAACCAAGTGTCTCTTTTGTAATCTGCAAGCCGTAACGTGTTTCCTTGACTCAGGTGATACATTTAGAAAAGAAATCATGATTTTTTCTTTTGCTGTAACAGGCAGACACTGAGTTTGTTGTGATCAGGAAAGATGGAACGACTGCTGCCCTTCTCTTGCTGCTATCAACAGTTTTTCTCTCATGATCTCAATGCTTGAATAGTCCGGCAACTTAAGATAGTTCACACAAGTCATTACGGAGGGCAGGAAGTCATCTGGGTTTTCTGTTGACTCAAATGTCTTCCGGACAATTGTCAAAGGTGGATTCAAACTCCGGAAGCCTGAGTAAGAGGAAAGGAAGAAAGACCAAGGACCTTAGTCAGTTTACGGGCGTCCACTGGCAAGTTCAGAGAAAAATGCGTCTTTTATCCATGAGAACTATCAGTCTGGCATCACAAGCACACCCTTCATTATGCTACTACTATAGGAAAACATCAAGCTGCTTTGCTGTATGTACTCTCACTCACTCACTCACACACATGCACACACACTATTCTTTCTTGCTTGGCAATTAAATCTACACATTCAACATACATTTAGTGTACAGAGCCTGGTATCTGTTTTATCACAAAAAGTGTCTGTATAACATGAAGGTCAACAGTTCTTTATGCCTTATCAACTCAACTTATATTAGGAGTCATTTCTGAAAAATCAGACTTTAGCATCCATTCTCAGCTAAGTCAACTAAGAGTTTATAATGTTCATACACTTCAGAATTTTTATAGAAAAGCAGCATTATGTGTGCACTAGTAATCCTATTTCAACGTGTTGAAGACTACCCTCATGAATTTTCCTGCCAGTGAAGTCTCTTACTATACTCTTAACATACTACAAAACAAATGGAAAACTTAGGAAAGTTATCAAATTGAAATAACTAAGAGTACTGTAAGTCAAACACAGAATGGAGTTTCACACACGTACATCTGCAGACGGAGTAAATGCCAAGCACCCACATCATACCCACCTCCAACAGGCAATCTCGGGCTACCCGTCACAAACTGGAGAAATAACCTCTGCTGCTCATTATCAAAACTACTGAGAATCTCAAACAAGAACTTCACAGCCCGACTACAACAAAAGTAAACAGACCACAATTAGTTCATCAGATTAAAACACAGTTTACAGTCATGCCACATCACTGACTTACAACTGCTCAGGATTAGATACAGAGCTTACCAATTCTAAACTGTGATTATAAGATGTGAATTCTCACTATAATGCACTCTGAAAATCAAATTTGTTTTTGTTGTTGTAGCTGGAATTCAAATTGAATGAGTACTGTGGTAATAAATAAGACTTGATCTGGGATTGCACAGATATTTGTTTTCCTGTAAGTAAGAATGAGATTTAGCCTGTATTCCCTCCTTCCATATTTTCACAGAAATACTGGAAAAGGAACCCCTTGGGTCCTAACTTGCAGTCTTGAGAGCAATAAGGCCAAGGTATCAGTAGGCCTCCTTTAGTAGGTAGACAAATTGTAAAATGACCCCCCCATACCACTGTTGTTGGTGGTGCTGGTTTAAAATACATACATGGATGTACCTCCAGTTTCCTGACTATAAACTGAAAGCCTGGCAGAGTCCAGTACTGACCTATCATGAGTATAACCGTGATCTGGCCGGCAGCATTCCATCAACGTCTTTGCATCCCAAGTGTCTGCTTTACTGCCACACAGGAGCTGATCCAGCTATGAGTTTAAATAAGAGTAAGAATTAGTAATTAAGCAGCTGCTTAGCTGGTGAAAATGCATGCTCCGTTTTCTATTACACCAAGACAAAGGTCTACATGTACCAAATAACAGCATCATTTTCAGGACCAAAAACTTCTGCATAAGGCCTTTCTTTAGTGTGCTTTTCTGACACAGTTCTACATTCAACTTCCTTTTCAGATGCACAGTTAGGTTCCCTGCCTATCTGCAGGGACTAGGTTCTAGAGAAGCCTTTAAATCTCAAACAACACACAGCTGAGACCGACCCTTGATTTAACTTTTCCTAACTCTCCTCATTACTCTGGAGGTTTTAATTTGATAATCCGCTGCCAACCAGGAGACTTTTCAATCCTGGCCTTCAGGAACACAGTAACAGAAGCCAGCAGGAGAGAGAGGCACATCTGTGCTACATGGTTGAGTGTTGGGGGACAACCTACAACCAGATCATTCTAGAATGAATATTAGAAAGCAACAAATGCTTTTGTGTCCCTGGAAAATCTAACATCAGCTTCAAATTCAACCACATTCTTTATGGTTACTGCCCCATTTGTGGAATGACTGCATACTTTGAGAAAACCCAATTCAGGGCAAATGAAAGGTAGTATCAACAATCTGTCGCTCACTGTCAGGTTCTTTACATGTGCTGCTTAGTTCTCATCGCCCTATAAGACAGGATTATCCCAATTTTATAGATGAGGACATGAGATAGATACAATAAGGCCTCACAGCTAAGTGGTGGCGAGATTCAATTCCAGGTGCAACACCTTGCAGCAGCTGTCAACTCAATTCCGTGAGCGCTCAGAGACCGCTCTAAAGTGCCAGGTGCATCTCAGGCTTGAGTGAGCCGCAAAGCAAAGTGGAGACAGAAATAATCACTGAGATTAAAATGCTAAGTGCCTCCAAGATCTCCAGATTCACTCAGTAATAAATGAGTACTCTAAAGCTAGTATTAAAAAAAATCAACAAAAAGGTTTCCAAACTGGAGAAACCTAACAACTTCTAGACCCTCTCTCTCTGACACCTCACTACCAGGGGTTACTTGTTTGAGATTCCCGCTGCACTTCAAATACGGACGGCCAGAGAAAACTGGGCACATAAACCCCCTTCTCCTCCTCACGAGTGTCTTTCATCTGTGTAGTCAGCAATCAGATTATCGGCACCTCTTCTTTAAAACTTCAAGGACTAACTTGGATCATAAAACAATGTCTCATTTAATCTAATAGGAGCCCTGGTGGCACGGCGGTTAAAGCACTCAGCTGCCAACCGAAATGTCAGTGGTTCAAACCCACCAGCCGCTCCACAAGAGAAAGATACAGCAGCCTGCTTCCATAAAGATTACAGCCTATAGGGTCGCTATGAGTTGGAATCAACTGGATGGCAATGGGTTTTGGTCTTTTTCCCCATGTAATCCAGGAAGCATAGCTTTAAAAACAAAACAACAAAAAAAAAAAACACCACTTCCTCTGTGTCCCTCATTACTAGACTTGGCAAAAGGGGCCAACGATGGACCTGAGGCTCCCCCTGCCGGCCACAGAAGCACAGAAACACACAGCTGACAAAGACACTGTGCCTGCTCTGTCACACATGGACCCCACTCCCCTAGGAGGGAACCTGATTTCATACTGTTCTCGGATCAGCAAATGACCCTGACCTCCCAAAATCTGTCCTTTTTTGCAACAAGACGATTTTTGACATGACAGCACAGAAATACTCCACAAAGATAATTACAGGTACAGAACCAGAAACGGCCATTTCTTTTAGACATAAGCTACTCACTTCCTCTGGGTAGAAGTACTGAAGATGACTGAGTGGGAAGACAGATTCAAATCCATCTCTGAATGAATCAAACTGCCTGGAGACGCCTTCATTTAGTGCCCAAAATATAACCAGCTGCAAAAAGAAGAGTCTTTTAAAAACTGTCACAAGATTTCAAATCTCTTTACTAAATTATATGTGATAGAGTCAAAACCCCCTTATGATCACCTTTTTTTTTCCCTAAACAAGCTGTTAAACCTTTAAAATATCTTCTAGAAATTGTGTAAAAGTCAGGTCAAATTCTAATTTGGATCCAGGCTAATAAAATAATGTAAAAAATGCCATGTGCATTTACACGTAGTATGTTTTAAACATTTACTTATGTAAAATCCCTATGGCAGAGAGTTATATTACTTTAGCCAGATGAGAAGCTAAGGAGAATTCCCCTAGAAGACAAAACGTTGAGAAATAAAGCTAATGTTTCAAGATTGACAATTTGCAACTGTTAAATATTCCATATTAAAAAACAAAAACCCTTAATTCTAAATCGTGTTCTTAGAACCACCCACTTCTGTAGTGTGTGCCTCTACTTAGAAAAATCTAGAAATGCAGTCCTATGGAATTGAAGGACAAAAGCAAGTAACTCTTACTGGTCCAACCCTATCTAGTCGTCAGTGACTCTGGCTAATCCATTGGCTACATAAAGAAACAAAAGAACATATTTAGATAAAAATGAAAACATTAGTGTCTTGTTGATAGAAAAAGTAACTGTTACTATAGATTGCTTTTGGAGAACATTAATCTGGAGATTAACTCATTATCCCCTAGCAAAGAGAGGTATTGGAAAGTTAGTGAAAGCAGCAGGGAATGTGAGAAGACAGTCTTGATGAATATATAATATATGAAGGAATTACTTAGGATCACAGAATTGTTAGGTAATAGGGGATCTCAGATTGTTATTTAGTCTATTCTCTCTCTCTGTCTTAAAGTGATGAAGAAACCAAAGCCCAGTGTTTCAGAGGATCTAAAGTCCCATGGGAGGTAAGTGGAGAAGTCAGCTCCAGGTGGACATTCTGACTGGAATCCAATGCTCTTCTCCATCAATGCCAGGAATAAACCAAAACAAACTTTTCAGACACTGGTAACCTAAATTTGTTGTAATTTAAATTGTGACTTATAGTTAATATAACACTTCTGTCTTCAATTTAATGAATATAGCCAAAGACCTGAATTTTATCTGCTGAAAAGCCTCACCCGATGTGCGCGTGCGTGCATGCGTGCGTTGGAGGCAACTGTCAAGAGAGCTGGCTTGAAAAAGGCAGAAACGTAATTTAGTGAGAACACTAGTGATGGCTCCCTTTTCCTGATTTATTTTTTAATTAAAGAAAATGTAGTTTTATTAGATAGCACGCAAGCTTGAGGGTAGATAATTCAAGATTATACACGGTATCATGACGTGTAAGTATCTGACACATTCTCTCAAGAGCAAACAGAAACTAAGGCCTGAGCGAGTGGCCTTCCTGCAGTGGTCCCGGAGATGTCAAAGGCCTAACATCACAGTCTCAACAGGCAGAAGCTGACAGACATGGCCTCTGCTTCACTGGACAGAGCACCAACAGGCAAGGTCTTACACAGCCACGCTGGCCCTCTCCCCAAAGGACACCACAGTTACATACTCTTAGATACTCCTCTAAATTGTGGATAGTCACTGGTATGTCCTTTCCTCCTTTCTTCAGCTCGATGTTGGGAAACCCTGGCAGAGTGAAATCCAATCCTAGGTCTTCCACTGAGCAACCATTCATAGTCAGGGTTTCTAATGAATATTGTAGACTCTCTTTGGTCTGGGGGGAAAAAAAGAGGAGTGAGGTCAAGCATGTAATTCACTCAGTTTTGTTTTTATTGTGTTCATAAAAATAAGATTTCCTAATAAATTTTATGGGTTCCTCTAGTTCTTAGCCTATTTCCTTTTTATCATCATACTCTACATATGTGTAAGTCACTGCAATCCAAAGGAAGTGATCTGAAACACTTTCAGAATCCAACTGTTTTTATATGGACAAATGACAAGGTTGCTTGCATGTTTCTCCATAATGAGATGCTGCTCCTCCATTTGACCATGCTCAAATCAGATTTCACAAGAGTCCGTGACAGTTTGCATAACGGTTAATTTTAAGAGCATGGGCTCTAAAGTCAGACAAATTTTTCATCAATTCTGGGCTCAGCTTGTTGAACCTGATACATACATACACACATAAATACATACATACAGCAAATACCAAGTAAGACAGTTAGGGAATTGTATGTACAAACAATGCTACCATTATTATCTCAGAATGGTAATTAACTTGTTTTCCCCTATAACGCTCAAGTCTAAAGAATACCCTGGAGACGCTCCATTCAACCACTTCGGGCGCCGAAACATAACAAATCTGCACTTCTACAGTAACGCTGTGATGAGAAAGTTCCCAACAAAGTCCTTAGGAAAAGTCAAGTCATTATGTTAAATGCAGTCTGTATTATTCCCTTTTAAAAATGCAAGCCCTGTATAAAATACTATTGCTTAGATTAAGGATCAAAGACCCACATGCAAAAACACAAATTCTATCTGAAAATGAAGGCATCCAGTACAGGAGAAAGAAAGCAAATGACTTTCTAAATTGGAGATGCCTCTGTGTTTAAAACTTAAAAACTAATTAAGTTCCTACAGGCAGAGCATTCAAGGTGCGGAAAGTATCATTTAAACTATGAGAGATTAGGAAGTTCTGATTAATAAATTAGTTATTTTTTTAAAGGGAAACTAAAAAGCTGTTTAGGATTCCAGATAATTCTGAATACAAAGGAGGTAGTAGCATTATTTGAGATTAAGGTAAAATATCGTTGCAGAAAATTATGTCCATATTGACTTCTCTGCAAAAGCCCATGTCTGAGCCTCCCCGTTTCCGGTGCATCGTCTGATGACACCCTAAGGGAGGCTTTTCATTTCACATTTAAAATATTCTTCAGCAGAAAAAGATTAAAAAAAAAAAAAAAAAGTTCTCCATTTTAATAATCCCCCAGTGGAAAACTCTCAAAACGATCCCCCTATCTCCTATCACAGATCAAGGTGATCACTACTATTTAATGGAAAGTCTCTTTTCCAAGACCTACCATAGAAATGTCTTACTTGTAAAGATTTGCATTACCAAATGCTATTATTAGATAGGGATCTAGAATACATAATACGTCCTTCAGATGGTTAAAGAGATCTGCTGTTAGTCCTCTAGACTCACATACCAAATCAAAAGCTTTAGCACATTTCCCATGTCTCCTTCAAGAGTGTAAACTACCAAGTAGAATCTGACCCAGGACAACTGTATAAAACAATGGGGAGGAGGGTCTCAGAACGCCATCATTCCTCATGTTCTGGCTGAAAGATGCAGCTTTAGCGATTCGGTTAATACAGTAAATCAATTTCTGGAGTGCAGATTCTTGTTATGCAATGAATACCGTTAAGCTGACAACACCAAGAATAACAAAGGATAGAACAAATCGCAAAGGGAACTACAGAAGAAGAGAACAGTGGGGCACAGTGCAGTTGAGACAGCGCCGTAGCACGAGGCTCACATAGTATCAGAGTGCGGGCTCTAGAGCAGACAGCCTGGTCTGAAGTCCAGCTCCCCCATGTTCTCGGCGTGTGACCTTGGGCAGGTTACTCAACCTGCCTGTCTCCAACAGGGATAACAATACCTAAATCCCACAGGATTGCTGTGAGGATTAAATGAATTAATATACGTAAGGCACTGAGAACAGTGCTATGAGTCTTTCTTTTTTTCCTTCTTCTTGCTTTTTTTTTTTTGGCCCATTTACCTAAGAATCAAAAAATGCACTGCCGTCGAGTCGATTCCGACTCACAGCGACAGAGCAGAACTGCCCCATACTGTTTCCAAGGAACACCTCGTAGAGTTGAACTGCTGACCTTTTGGTTAGCAGCCGTAGCTCTTAACCACTGTGCCACCAGGGTTTCCATTTACCTAAGAGATGATCCTAAACGAGACTGTAGTAGTTTAAAATTTACCAAGTTGGTAAACCTAAACCTGACTGGTTCCAAAAATCCTAAGGAAGACAGATCTTGTCTGGGAAAAGATGGTTAATTTACTTGGCTTCATTAAACATTAATTTCTCTTTTTCATTTTTAAAAAAAAAGAGTACCAATTAACAATTACCAATTAATATGGGAGATAAAACTGATTCTCTTACAAATCATCTTACTCCCTGATCAGAATGCATTCTAAACCATCCCCATCTCTCTACTAGCTCTTCTCTATCTCATCAACAGATGTGACACTTTCCCTTGAAACAGGATCACGCCTCACCACTCTTGCTTTATATAATTCATAAAAGGGGAATGAACTTAGCCTTGGTCTATTTGATCTGTGCTTTTTTTCAAGATACATTGCTTTCTTCTAATACCAGATACAGAACCACTACCAATCTCAGGCTGAGCCAAATGCTTTTCTATCTATAGTTAATGTGTACATAAAGGATATTAATAATATAAGGCTCACAAATTACCCATGAGACCTGAGTGAGGCACCTCAACATGTTCACCGAGAAACAGTGGACACCCACCACGACCTGTAGAAGCATCTTCCTGAGATCTCGCTAGAAGCAAAGGGACTGTTCCTAGATTTCGCCACCTTTTCTGAAAATAAATCTCTCCTGAGGATAGTTTTATTGATTCAAGTGCTAACTAAAGTAATTCAGTATGATATACTATCTGCACAGATACATAACGCTCATCTAAAATTTAAAAAACAAGAGCTGTATGGTTTCCTTTAGAAGTGTGCTTTATTTACTAATCCAGTTATTCACTCATCACCTGCTATTACCAGAGGTCGTCTGACCCACTATGGAATCATGCTTCAGCTTTAAAAAAAAAAAAAAAAAAAAAAACTCTTCTAAAAAG